CCTTAGCGCGTTTTTCACCGAAGAGAGAGGTGAAGAGCAGGAGAAGCAGGGGTTATTCAGTGAGGAGTTACTCTACCAGGAGAAACCCCCAGTGGTAGTACCACGTGGACAAGCAGCTAGTGGCACAGTTAGCTCTGGGGAAAAACATTCGAGAAAATTGCAGGAATCTGAGGCGATACATGAACTTGAATCCCTTAGCGCGTTTTTCACCGAAGAGAGAGGTGAAGGGCAAGAGAAGCAGGGGTTATTCAGTGAGGAGTTGCTCTATCAGGGGCAGGCCCCTGTGAAATTACACGGACAAGCAATTAGTGGCGCAATTAGCTCTAAGCAAACACACTGGGGAAGTTTGCAAGAGTCTAGGACAAAAGTTGATGATCCACAGGCCGCCACCAGCGTGCCTAGCACCGAACAGAAATGCAAAGAATGTGAAGAAGAGGAGTATTTTAGAGATTTTTTAATGTACTTCGAAACACTCCCGGAGGGCATACGTGGAGAAACAGCTTGCCAACACTCAGAAGCAGAGAGAAGTTCAGCGCACGGCACTAGTACAGAGAAGCAGCGGCAAAAGGTCCGACCAAAATCAGCGCCAGAAGTCACAGAAGAACTGTTAGCACGCGCTGGGTTCTGCACAAAGGAGCGATCAAGCAGTGGGCCCACAGGAGAACCAATTTATGGTACAGCACCGGGTCTTCGCTTGGCTGACTCAAAATTGCTATCTCAACAGCTAGGCAGTGAACCGTGGGACATTAGCGCGCTTAGTGCTGAAGAGAAAAGCGAAAAACAAGGGGAACAGGAGTTATTCAGTGAGCAATTATTGTACCAGGAGAAATCGCTGGAAGAATTACATGAAGAAGCAGGTGGTCAACGTTGGGAAAACTTGCAAATGGCTGAGACGACGGGTGCTCTCCTGGGCAGCTGTTACACATGCCTGACAGCGGAAAATTGGGGAGAACGATACAGACAGGTACAAGAACGAGTATCCAAAATCGGATATATGATGCCCAGCACTGCTCCTCAAGCACAAAGTTCAGTGCGCGAATGTTCAGTGCAAGAAGTCAGTGCAGAAGAGGAGCGACAGGCGATGGGTCCGATTATATTAAAAACAGGAGGCACAGAAATACAATCAGCAAGTGATGGTCAGCGCCAAAGTTGGCAGTTAAGCAGTTCACTGCACACACCAACAAGG